CACAACAGCAATTTAAAAATTATATAACTCCTCAAGACAGATTAATCAGTCAAAACAAAAATATATCTGCCAATCAATCGAATAACCTGGGCTCAAATCAAACAACAAAACCTTCAGACAGAAACAATAATTCTTCAACTGATCGTAATAATCAAATTAAACACGAGCAATTGAGATATCCTCCCGCACCAAATGGTCCATCAACTTCTCAGCGACTTTCGTACTTTTCTTCACAAAATAGCTCGTCTAGTTCCCAACGCCTTTTCTATTCTCCCGGCTCGTCTAGTTCCCAACGCCTTTCCTATCCTCCCGGCTCGTCTAGTTCCCAACGCCTTTCCTATCCTCCCAGCCCGTCTAGATCCCAACACCTTTCCTATCCGCCTATATCGACGACAAATAATTCTTCCTATCTATCTCAACCATCGATAAATACACGTTCTTATTTACCATCAACAAGTTCTTCTATAAACAACCATAGTATAAATCCTCAAACCCTAAATACACAAAGTACCTTTTCTTATGTATATAATTCCAATTATAATTATAGCCATAGCTCTCCCATAACTATTGTAAGTAAATAAAATTGCTTTGAAAAATTTAAAAATTATTACTAATAATAAATCTATTTATTTTAGGGTCCGTTAACTGCAGCTGAAATTTATATATACGGCTTTTTACGAGAGCATATAACGCAGAACACGGACGTGGATATCGAAGGATTAAAATGGACTGCTATTGATAAATGGAATAAAATGTCAAACAAAGAAAGACATGTAAGTTTTATTTTAGCTTCTCAATTTATTTTATAATTTTTACTATTATTCTAAAATGTTTCTTTTAGCCATATATAAAAGCTGAGAATCGAATGAAATTATATGGCAATCAATTGTGGAAATATTGGTTCAATGCTTTTGGAGATAATGGTGAGCGCCGACTAACAGAATTTCAAATTGAACATATTGTGTACGAAAGAGCGATCCCGGAGAGACATGTGCAAATAAAAAGAGAAAGAGAAGAGGAGGAAGGAGAAAGGAACAATGCACCATTCAAAAAAAGCAGAAATAATTAATATAAACAACTTAGATATTCTTTTACCTCTCTCATTTACTTCATAGAATTTTGTTTTCATTTTTTTCTTCAGAATAATTGTTTTTAATTTTAGATAAACAAAAAGATATTTATATTTGAAATTCGAAATACACGTGTGAAATACAAATCAGAATCAGCCTTCCATCATGCATCATCACGGACGGCGCAGCCGTGATCTATGGCATGGCATGCCGTGAAATGATTATTACTTATACTCTTCATGTTATGTCTTGTGAAATTAATTCACGTTCATAAAGTTTCGGCATTGCCTACAATTTTAATATTTAAAGTGTGAAATTGTAAATTTATAATTCTGTAATCAATTGGTTGCTTTTGATAGTTTAAAATTCAAACTTGCGGGTCAGGATTTTTGAAATCGAGTGATTTGATTGGATCCGCAAGTTTGAATTTTGTAGACTACGTAGATCAAATAGTCTGCTTGATTGAGACCGATGGACCTTCGATCCATCCTAGGACGGGAACGGTCTGGTCCTCATCAAAGGACTGTTATCGTATAATATATTCTAATTCGATTCAGTGATGAAAAACTATGATATAACCTATCCACGGCAAAAAAATGTTCGGATCACGTGAAAATGTTCGAACCGGAATTATCCGAATAAA